CAATGAATCAAGATTAGTTACTAAGTAATTTACTTCTTAATAAAACACTTTATACTCTTATCTTTCATTGTTAAAAGTATATTTCTTATTGATTTTATCATTAAAACCACAATTAGAAATGTGTAATTGGTATTGTTAAGTTTAAAGATAACCGGTAGAAAACCATACTTTGGCATTGATTTCATGCATAGTGATAGTTATTAAATTCACCTGATGTTGTTTGATTTGTATCTTCTCATTGTTGTTTAAGACTGTAATTGATCAGTCTTTTGTTGGCATATATGCATCCTGTGCGGATTTGTGGAGATAGATCTGACAAGCCTAATTTGTAAATAGTTTTTAATATTATTTGTATTTGTCAATTTCTCACTGAATGTACATTTATCATTAAATGATTGTACCTGTTGTTTAAGTTAATGACCTTGAAGACTTTTGCCGTTGTAATTCTGACATAGCGTGACATACTTTCGGTGGTTCGCAAATACACTACTACGCACATACCCATTGTTCTATTCTCGCTCGTTACCGAGTCAATTGCGTTCTAAACTGGATATTATCCTCATTTTAGACTGCTGTGTCATTTCCATTATATCCTACGTCAAAGAAACTTATTGGCGTCATATTTACCTCTGTGGAATTATTACGCATTTATAATTGTGGATTTATGGGACCAAAACTCAACAGAATACGCAACCACTAGCCGATTTAAGTAACGTCTCTGAACTTTTAATTTGTGTTGTTAATTTATAAATTATTATTGTTACATTAATTTTGGACGTAATAACTTTATCACTGATTTTTGGTTATTATACTTTTTGGTCCACCACAGATTGTCTTAAGTCACAAGCATCCTAAGCAAAGATGGATAGTGGCTAATAGTGGAATCCAGTTTGACTCGCGTTTCGTCCTATTTCGGACTCGTCAGCTGGATGTGCCTGCATTTCATACTCATTGTTGATGTATATGTGTAATCATGATGAGGTAAGAGTGGTAGTTATTATAAATCGTAGTTTTAAACAGTATATGTTTGAATCTTTGTAAAAACATCCATTTTTCTCAAATACACATATAGTTGAATTCATGAGTCAATTGAAGCTAGACCACTATGGAAAACCTGGAAGTACTGGAAGGTCGTTTCGTCATAGTATGGGACTCGTTAACTCAGTGGTCTAGAGGTCAAGCGTATGCGTGCGAGATTGATACGTCCTGGGCTCGAACTCCGCGGGATCATGGATGAGTACTCTTGAAGAGTCTTATATTAGAGAGAAACGGCCATCTATTGCTTCCAGGTTTTCCATAGTGGTCTAGCTTCAATTGACTCATGAATTCAACTATTGAAATTACTAAAATCTCCACATAACCTCTTCTGATGTCAATGGTAATTATCAGTCAACATAAGCGTCATAGCAGAGATTGTTTCCTCATAAGAACTCGACTGTTATTAATTATTTATCATACAATGATTCTTTCTCAAATTTTCTTTGTTTAAATCACAACCCATTATATCTAAATGCTTGAAGTCAATAACTTCTAGTCCTAGCCATGTTGGTAGATTCAGACTACTTGGTTGGGGTCCGCGTGACCATCGTAACGAATGATTGAAGACTCTGGGCGACATGACTCAGAATCTATCACAATGGCGTAGGTGTATCCATTCTTTGTCTTCCCTTAAACTAAGAAATTAAAATCGTTTCATATCTTTCATTCTACCAACTAATTCTATCCTTACATAAAATCTTCCCTTGATATATTACACCGTTGAGCTAACTGCTTCTATGAATTTGGAGTTCGTCTTGTTGTGCTAATGGTATGTGGCAACTTGGGCCGATGCACGTATGTGTCAGGTCCTACGTTGTAGCAGATTGACTAGTTGGCAAGAAAACAACATGTTGAAATGAAGAAATTACCAATGTTTATCCTTTCTTTTGAACCATATAACATAACTGATGAAGTGTGTTACATGTTAATTCGAAACAAGTAGAATCACCTTTGAGAATTTTATTACTATTTGCTTTCTATATGTTACATTTTATTTGTGTTTACCATGCACCTAAATCAAGTAGGTAATATATCTGTCTTTAGAAATAGATTATATTCCACTCACCTCATTGATGATTGGTTCTTAGCTATACAATCAACTTTTGTTTACTATTCAAACGATTTAATCGGTTGATGAGTATATCAATGTGCATGTGCTTTCATAGTCATCATGTTCCGGTGAGATTATAATTTATAGACGACCTTTGAGAGACGCCAAAGTGACTTTGAGAGTGTCTATCTGCTTAATAGGGCTAAATGAAAGTCATAAAGCAGTTCTGAAGAATAAAGACAATGATTTACAATTGATGGTAAGGGTTAAGATTTAGATTTATGGTTTTCATCATGAAATGACATCAGCTAAAATGTCAAAACGCTATTTAACCGAATGGATGAGTGAATTTCATGCCAAAATCCAAGATGTGTTATCTTAGATCTGATTGGTTCGTCCATAAATTATAGTCTCGACGACATAATGATCATTCGAGAAAAAATGGTCAACCTACAAGAATTCTTCAAAATGTTCAATTATAGACTAGTTTCACACGAGAAGAGAAATGTGATAAGATACCATTAAGGATAAAATAACAATGATAGGTTCATCTATGTGCGTTTATCAATTGAGTTGTTTCTATGGTGTCATACTCAAAAGTCCTTACACTTACACGCTGCTGAACACGTACTGGTATAATTAAGGAAAAGCGTTGAGAAATCATTTACTAATAATCCTATTCTTTACCACTTAATTAATTACGGATACAACATTAAAATTTAGGATGCCTTTTCAGTCATGCATATCAAATTTCTCGTAATCTACCAAAAGGCTCAAGATTAACCGTATTTTATGTAGTTGAAGGAATTAGCAACAATTTAAAGAAACCTAACTAATGAATACAAAAAAAATATGTAACATGACTCACACTAGGGTCGTTTCAGTCTTAGTTCCAATTTTGTCCCTTCCCCCTACCCACCATCATTATGATTACCACTCCCAAGACACTCCCTATCCTTAAGTATACAGTCATTCCTACTAATAATTATTCTTAATGTTATTATTCTTATCAGGGCTACAGCACAACAATTCATACCTTGTTCATATCTTGTTTTAAATTATGTTTGCATACGTGTTGAACTTATTGATTAGAACTAATTACCTTAAGGTACATAATTTTTCTTACCCTTTTAGGTATGAACTTCTCCTAACACATTATTCCATGACTTTATTACATTTTGTCAATAACTTGTGGTACTTCATACTCAATAGACATGAAATTTGTCATTTTTATATAGTATTATGGATGAATTCAACATAAATATGATTTTGATAGTTGAGATCATGAGTTAATTGAAGCTAGACCATTATGGAAAACCCAGAAGCACTGAATGATCGTTTCGTCCTATTGTGGGACTCCTCAGCAGTGCGCATCCACAATCCCACCTCGCGAGATTTGAACCCAAGACCTATCGGTCTCGCGCGTAACATGGCTCATGTAGTGAGATAGTAACTCACTGAAGACAATAGTGAATGTGTCGTCCAATTTTGTGGATTAGTTGAAGTTAGAGACGCCGTCTCAGTGATCTAGAGGTTAAGCGCTCTCATGCAAGACCAATAGGTCCCCGGTTCGAATCTCACAAGGCAGGATCGTGGATTATTATAATATCCACAAAACCGCTTCTAATAAATATGATGGTAATTTCAAGTTCATAACTATACAACTTGATGAAGAAAATATCAAAAACGATTGTTCAATCCAAATACCCTTTGTTCTTGAATAATCTGTGGGAATTTCTAAATTGTATTCATAATTTTTAATAGTTGAATTCATATGTCAATTGAAACTAGACAACCATGGAGAACCTGGAAGCACTGACTGATCGTTTCGTTCTAGTATCGGACTCCACAGTACTGCACATGCACGATCATAATTGTAAGAAAAATTTGAACTTCTTGAATTGCGTTATTTGTTCTGCTTCTTTATTGGATCAACTTAAATGTATGAACTGTAAAAGAACAGATCCATTTAAATATGTGGAGCGATGAAATGTAGTCAGCAGGAAATTATGGTCTTAGTCGGTACTCATCACCAAGGTATAACTGTAATCTTAGGGTAACTGAGAATAGTTAACTAGGCATCATGAGACCAAGTAATAACTGACTTAATGTGTTCATTTCATTTCATGCTTATTTTCGGTTCGTTTTTACTCATAACTATTTTTGCTATGATGTTATGATGGAATGAAAAGTCAAAATTAGATTGATTTACTCAATATGGTTCTTGGTTCAAGACTAATTCCGTTCAATTCAATGAGATGATCACTCAGTATAGTATTTAGTTTCGTTTCCCCCTCCCTATGACATTTTATTCTGTATAACATATGACGATACCCTTGTATCAAGTATTATTCATATATATGATTTTATTCTGATTATTAATCAAAAAAGGGGGTGTACAAACCAATATATGAGTGTATTTCCGACTAGACCGGGGTCGAGATTGTTTGTGCTTCTGACTGCTTACAGAATATATTTCACTGTTTTCGAATCTTGAAACACCGACTTTGGTGGCTTGGACATGTTCTACGAATGTCGTCCCAGAGAATTCCACGTCGTGCATTATTTGCCGATTCTGGGACTGGTTGGAGAAAGCAGAGAGGTGGTCAGTGCATGACATGGTGTCGTGGCATGAAAGAAAGCTGCAAAGGACTGGTTTGTGTTGGTCCTTCACGACTCCCTGGTTGAGGTCCGAAAGATGGTGCTACACAGTGGCTAGAGACGTTATCAGATATGGCTCAGAATAGAAGCCAGTGGCGATCCTGTTGTAACCTTCTTTCACTTTCTTCGTAAAAAGTTGTTGTATCTTCTTTAAGTGAAAGATTTCTTCTGATTGTACCTTTCCGTTCCCCCATTATTACACCAATCTCTTCGTCATTGTTTTTTTTTACGCTTCTTTTTCCTTCTCTTTAAATTCTCATTGTTTTGTGTGGTGCATATAAATTTGGCGCACTCTTGTGCCAATATTTATATGTTCAAATAAGTAAATAAATAAATAATTTCGAACTTGCACTTCTCTTTCTAGTTAGTGGGGTTTTGGTCACAGTCTTTGTTCGGTTAGCAGACTAGGTGAACTCGTAATCGCTTCAAACATAGCATATGAATAGGTTCATTGAAGTACCATCTAACATGTCTAATGAAAGTCAGAACTTAATGAAATCTGTAATGTAAATTACACCTGAATATCCAGCATTCACTCATTAAAGAAGGATGAACTAATGGCCGAATATACTATGTACGATGCATTTATTGAACTTGAGCAAAACATTACAAGTAACTTCGACTACTTCAAGTAATCAACCTTCAATCACTAACTATAGATTTTACCATCCACTTACTAAAGTTCATAATAGTTAGTAAGTGATAAAACAAATTTAATTCATTTCGTAGAACACACTAAACTGATTTTTACTTCCCTGATATACTGCGCTCAAAACTTCAACATAGTAACAAAGAAAATGAGGCTACAAAATAATCACTGAAATTCCATAAACTAAAATAAACTTAATCAAACTATTATTCATTCAACACATAAATATTGGTACGAGGCACCAGATAGATATGCGACAGACAAGTCACTTGATATGGGCTATGATACTCAGTCGTTGTCCAAACCGAAGAAAGTAGTTTTCATAGGAGGCCACACCCGGAGTCTAGAGCAACGTCAGCAGATGCACTCCCATGGTAGTCGGTGACCAACAATTGGTTCATACGCTATTTATTCCTTCAGGACAGTGCAGCCCATATAAGCGATTGGTTTGGAATGAGGGTTTTAGCAACTCACCTAAGTGGATCTACCGTGTCCATCAACCCTAGTAAAACGTAGGACATCTTCCTTTCATCCTCTCAATTTCGTAAACAACATCGATGCCACAAAAAAGACAGTGGCTGTATACATATGGCCATGTGAAAACATTTCGATAAGGAGAGCTCTCCCCAAATCTAACCGTACCTCCTCTCCCTCTAAATGTAAGTTGTTGCTTCAGGACTGGTCTGCGTCAACACCTGAACTAAGGATAGGAAGTGAAGTAGTCGAACGCGTTGACAACTTCATTTATCTTGGAAGTCTGATCAGCCCTAAAGGGTTGGTGTCTGACAGAATCTCAGCACGGATTCGAAAAGCTCGCTTGGCTTTTGCCAACTTACGTCACCTATGGCGAAAGCGATATCCGTCTATCAATTAAGGGACGAGTATACTGCGCGACAGTCCACTCTGTTTTAATTTACGACAGCGAAACATGACCATTAAGAGTAGAAGACACTCGTAAGCTACTAGTATTTGACCACAGATGCCTCAGAAATATTGCTGGCGTCTGCTGGGATCACCGGGTAAGTAATAGTGAGGTTAGACGCAGGGTATTAGGAAATGATGGTAAATCAGTTGATGAGGTTGTGAATCTTCATCGACTGAGATGGTTGGGGCACGTGTTACGTATGCCTGAACACCGATTACCACGACGTGCAATGCTAACCGGTGTTGGGGATGGTTGGAAGAAAGTTATGGGCGGCCAAACCAAAATGTGGTATCAGTGCTTGAAGTCACTAACTTCTAGTCTGAGTCATGTTGGTAGATGCAGACTACTTGGTTGGGGTCTGCGTGACTATCGTAACCAATGGTTGTAGACTCTTGGTGACATGGCTCAGAATCGATCACAATGGCGTCGGTGTATACACTCTCTATCTTCCCTTAAACTAAGAGATTAAAATCGCTTCATATCTTTCATTCTACCAACTAATTCTTTCTTCCTGTACTATATTCTTATTGCAATCTTTCTTTTATATATTACCACCTCTGAATTAACTACTTTTATGAATCCGGTGTCCATCTTGTTGTGTTAATGAGGTATGGCACCTTGGACCGGGGCATATATATGCCTGGTCCTACGTTGTAGCTGACTGACTAACCGTACCAGGGTATCTGGGGGGGGCACTAAATCAGACTAAAGTACGATGAACAATGAATAAATGAATGAATGAACAACAAGAACAACAAAACAATACCGGAATTCTTTTTCATTTTTTTTGTTATTTTAACTAACATATACACAGAAAAAAAGTAATGAAAATTATTTGGATTAAAAACAAAAAAAAGAAGTTTGTAAAAAAAAAAGGAAGTAGACAAGATTAATATGACAAAAACTATTTGAATGCAATTGGTTCTGTGGTAGTTCCTTTAAAGAGAACAAAAAGTCCTAAAACAACAAGCCTTTAAATCGATAATAATCATAGTAATAATCATGCAAAGATTGTTCAAAATTTATATTGTAGAATAATGGATGGACGCACACACACACGTACGCACGTACACTCAAGGGGGGTTTTATTATTATTATTATTATACATAGACAATAGAAATTTGGATTAATTAAAAATAGTATCAATACTATATATATGAATTTGTATGCACATTATTATTATTATTATTATTGTTATACAAAAGTTAAGAGGGGGGAAGGGGGAGGAGGGGGGGTATTGTATTCTCGTTTTATCGATTATTCAATGCTTCTAATTCATTAGGATTTATAGAATTTTCAGTTACCATAGTAGATAGATTTGATTTTAAATTTTTACGTTTTATATTTCTATGATAAAATTTCCCTGATGATAATGATGATGATTGATGATTATCAATTGGTGATTTATGCATTAATAATAATACACTAAATATAATAATTAATGTACCAATTAATGTAACCCAACTTAAAAGAAACCAAAAACCATTGAATATACTTACAATTCCATGACATACAGCATTATTCATATCATTCATAGCTGTATATAAACGATAACATTGTCCAACTTTTGACATAATTTTTGGTCCATATTCAATAATTAATTTCTCTGCTTCTATTGGTGTTTTTAATTGTATATTTTGATGAAATAATTCAATAGCTTGATCAATTAATATTGTTTTATTATTCATTATATTTTTTAAATTAATTAATGTTTCTTGTAACTTAGCAACATGTGGTGCAATTTTTTTTAATTTTGATAAAATCAATAAATTCTGATCTATATCATAAATGATCTGATCTAATTGAAGAATAGTTTGTCGAACTTTTTCTGTAGTAATATTTAAACGATTTAATTGTTCTATAGATAAACGTTGACTTAATATAGTAGTATAATAATTATCCCATAAATTCCACATATTATGTATTGGCCATAATGTATAATTATTTGATTCATCTATTGATGATTGTATACTTAAATAAGTTTTAGGCAATTTAGAACGTACTTCATTATAATCTACAATAAAATCATCTAAACGTGATGCCATAGCTAAATTTTCATCAGTTTCTTTAGGGAACATTTCATTGACATTAATTGATTTTAATGAATCAATCATTATATTTTTACCAAGATTAATAAATCGATTAGACATTTGTGGATCATTTAATGATTTCATATTATAATCTCTAATACTATCTAATGCTTCTAATATACCTTGATTTTTATAACAATTATGTAATAGACCATAAATTGGACTACGTATATGTGGAATAGGCATATGAGTAAATTGTTTAGCTATGGATAGAATAATTGGCCAATTACGATTAATAAATGTATTAATATGAGCATCAATAGGAAACATGGTATATTGAATATAATTCTGATTCATTGGATCATATTCTGTTATATTGATTATATTTTGTTCAGGATTTATATAACGACAACCTTCTGTATAGAAATAACCACCAATTAAATAAAATAAACAAGCTAATATAATACTTATGATTAGAATACAAAATCCAATACTAGCACCTAAACGTATACGATTACGTGTATGTAAACTAATCTCTGTGGGTATAAAATGATAACGTATAATTAACCATATTAAACCAATCGTGATCAATAAAATACAGAACCAAAAGAATAAATTGAATGTTAATAAAAGACTAGAAATGGATGAAACTTTTGGTGAAATAGATCTAGTTATTAAGATCGATATCTTATCAATCTCTTCTATAGCTTTATGTAATTGTGGTATTAATTGATCCCATTGTTTATTTGTCATATTACGTATAGATTGTGGAATATTAATTTGTTTAGCCATAATAGTTTTAGTTTTTTCAAGTTGATTATTAGATAATTGTTTACCATGATTTAATTGGGCTTGTATACTTTCAGCAGTTTGATTACGATCTGTAGTAACAAATTTTAATGCAATTGCAAAATGTATATCAGGCATAAATGAATCAGGTCTTATAGAGATATTATTATAAAATGTTGAACGTAATTCATGACATTGACCAATACAATCATAATTTGTATTATCTATATTAATTAAACGTAACCATGTTTGAAATTCCACTTTAAATCGATCAAATGTATGTTTAAATGCAGTATTTGATTGTACAATAGCATTACATTTTGTGATTAATGTAACAACATGTTCACCAAGAATATCCCCAAGTTGAAATGCTTCAGTAACACCAATTTGATTGAATAATATTGAATTAAATTCATTTGTCATACGATCTTGCATGGATTCAGTTGCTTGAATAAGTTTTTTTACAACAGGTTCAATATCAATTTTAGTCTGTGGAACAAATTCACTTAGATATGCTCTTATTTGTGCTAAAGCACGTAATACACGTGGGAATACATGAGTTTTTTCCGGATTAGTTCGCATTAATTCAGTAGTAGTTAATAGACGTCCTAATGATTCTTCATGTGTTGGTGCTGATACTAAATTGGTATGTAATTGACCACATGCAGCAAAACCAAGTAATACTGCTGTACCTAATAAAATGGTTAAAATAGTTAATAATGAAAATTGTATAGCAAGACATATCCAATTAGATTGTAAACGTTCACGTGTACGATAAAATGTTGATTTTGGTGAATGTTTTTTATGTAATGCAATTTCTATAGTTTCTCTAGATGTATTCAATGTATGATTTTCTGTAGGAGCAAGATATAATAATGTTTCGGAACGTTTTTTTATACGTTTACGTTGACGACATGTTAAATATGTAGCAATAATTAAAAAGATTATCCATAATAATGCACATACAATAGCTAATGCATAACCAGTACGTGAATATGTTGATAAAATATGATCAATAATTGTAACTTCTGTATGTGATGAACTTCCATTATTATAATTATTAGATGAAGGTAATTTTATTAAATTATTCAGTGTAAATGTTATAATTCCACCATCTAAACTTGGTTGAGCTCGACTTATAATTGCTTTTGCTGAAGAATATATAGAATTCATAATTAAATCCAAACAGAGTCAAACCTGATACAATAATAATCACACATGTTATGACCTTAATCAATGGATGACAATGATTAAATGTGTTTGTTTCTTTTCATTTTGATTGGTTATCTTATTAGTTAAATTCTATTGGTTCAAAATTTTAATTGGTTGAAATTTACTGAGATTAAATTTATATTAACCAATCAACGATCAATTATAGGCATAGTCAGTTTTGGATCGATAAAATATGTCACCTGACCAAACTTACAATGTTATTGGTTAAAAATGTTTATACTAGACAATTGAAGTTAAATTTTTGGTCCAAAATTTAGGTATCATGTAAACATATTTGGAAAACTCATTCACAAACATAAAGACAAATATAATCAAAATAAAGATTTTATAGTTGACTTGATAAGTCGATTGAAGGTAGACTATCATGGGAAACTTGGAAGTACTGGATAACTGTTTCATTCTAGTATGGGACTCCTCAACAGTATACACCCACGATCCCGTCCTGAGAATTTCGAACCTAGGACATATCAGTTTCACGCGCGAACGTTTAACTTTTAGACCACTGACTAACGGTGTTAATGTCTAACTTTAACTAATCTACGAAATTGGGCCACTGTCCTCCATTGTTTTCAATGAGTTACTGTCTCACAATAGACTCAGTTGAACTCTACTAGTCACTACTTCTCAGTAAAACTCTAGGAAATACCTCTTGAAGCCAGTCACTAGTGAGTATATGATAATTATTATCAAAAAGGGGATTTTGTGGAGATTGTATTAGTTTAATATTTTGATTTATGAGTCGATTAAAGCTAGACTATCATGGATCCTGCAAGCGGGATCGTGGATACAAACTGTTGAAGAGTCTCATACTAGAATGAAATTGCCATCCAGTATTTCTAGGTTTTCCATGGTAGTCTAGCTTCAATTGACTCATAAATTCAACTATGAAATAACTAAAATTCCGACAAAACCTCCTTCTGATAATAAAAATTCAGTGTTTTCATTTGACCATTTAATTCATGTTGAAAATTGTTACCTATCAGCATTACTGCTTTGAATATTTCATTTCTAAGTTTCTGAATAAACCTAGGAAGTGGGTGAGGTTAATCTGGGTCCCTATTTATCGAAAAACAAAACTTACTCATATCACTTTCTACGTCCCAAGATGATGGATAACGAGCTGAATTTTCTTTAGAAAATACTTATGGAAAACGGGTATCGTTCGATATTTATTGATAAGAATATAAAAGTCAAACCTCTTTAAAGATAAATAACCTCAGTTGAAAACACTTTATATGAATATCGATTTCGAAGGTGAAATTGTTACAGACGTCTTAAAGAGGAAAATTTCCGAATCTCTCAGAAAAACGTTCTTCGCATTAACTTGGCGAATAGCGTTCTCTAACAGGTCAATGTTCATCAACAATCTTAAGGAGAAATGATCTCATTTGTCCGGTTTTATATGCATTTATCAATTTGCCTGTTCATGTGAGGCTAGGTATATAAGTTGTTCGATGCGTACATTATTCAAAATAATTCAAGAAAATTACTCGGCTTGGCTAAGACGAGGCGGAAACGGTCCAATAATTAAACACCTTGTGAACACAGATCACTCAATCAAGGTGGATTCTTTGTTTAAAATCATCTACAGAGTAAGAAGGCTGTCAATGACAGTTAGATTGCATCATCTTAATACTGTCGAAGCAATAGTAACACATCTGAGAAAACCAGAATTATATGTCCAAAAGAAATTGGTAGAACTACTATGGCCTTAATGTCTCATCATTTAATTTCATCCTACTTTTCTTTCTTAACAGATGTCTACTCCTTCTTTTTCTATTTTCTCTATAGATCATTTACCCCCAACTGGTTTATTTCTGTTTCTATGATCCTCCTGGTTATATTTCATACCAAATTCAACCTTTTATTGTATCATGCTGAGCTATCCTTTCCCAATTATAATTTTCCCATCTATCTTTATGATTGATATTCAAGTCCTTTACAATAAAACTATTATTAATTTCCCTGATGAAGAAAATAACGTTTTAATGCCTTTTTTATTCTACCTCACCTATTACCATGTTTGACAGAATTTTATTATTACTATTATTGTGATTGTTAACTTCAAAAAGAAAAAAAAAGAGTATATATTCACTTGGTGTATTTTGCTTTGTATCTTCTCATTGTTGTTTAGGACTGTAATTGATCAGTCTCCTTTTGGTATATGTGCATACTGTGCGGGGTAGAGAAAATTTTGAACCCTCTAATTGGACGAGATTCAGCATAATTATTTTGACCAATCAGTATCCAGATTTGTCATTGGCGTTCTTGGGAATCATTGGTTGTTAATTGATTACAGTATTTCTCAAAAACCCTGCAGTCTCCCGTTACCCTGCTGACTCAGAAAATGACTAGCCTTCCCGATCAATTTCAGCTACTACTATATCGCCAGCAACAGCGTGTTTTGGACTATTTACGAACGCGACTGCTAGATCTCCCATGTTTCGGAGATGTGAAAGAAACTGATGAATTCATTTCTCACTTACAAACTGAACTCGAGAATGACTGCAGGACATATGAAGATAAAAACAAAAGCCTCCATGAATCCCTTATGATCAGTAATGCAAATGAGGCAGTCGCTCATAATCCGTCCAGCGATTCAGAAGTGCCCAATTCAGAAGCATGCCCTGTTGTGGGTTCAAATCCCACTGTGCCTGAAACATGTGAGGTATCCAGCTTACAAGAAGAACCTCTCGTGCCAGAAAATGTTTCCCGTGCATCAAATAATGGTCAGAAATCAAATACAAATTTCGAAGATGCTGTCTATTTTAGTGACCTACTATCCAGTGATGGAATTTTGGAGAGGTCTGAAGAATATGTTGCACCAAAATCAAACCTTAATGACCTCATGTCTGGTGTCGCTAATCCTCATCATCTAGTCAATTTAAGTGAACCCTCTACTCAATGCGCGAAATATGCTTTAAATAGAGTCAGACTAACTGTTACTTGGGTATATGAGGACCCAACGTTATTTCGCGGGGGAGGAGGGACGCAGAAGATTTTAAAACGCAGATATGAACTCCGCATCTTTCGAAAAAGGGGAGGTGTTAGGTAGTCGGAAAAATAGACCAATAATTATGATGTTAAGTCCAATGGTGTCCTTGGTCTTTAAATGTACATTCTTATTGGTCGATGTTTATTTCACCTGTTAAATATTGTACAAATGTTGTTTCCTATTTTATGGTACGATGTGGTTTGTTTGCTTGGTATATAAATAGAGTATGTTTGAAATACAATGATTCATAACCCAGAGGCTGTGACTTGTGTTCTTCACTCAACTGGGCTAGGACGGACAGCGAAGCAGGGCCAATCAGGCACTAGGTCGTCCGTACGTGTTTTCCGTGTCACTGTCACAGATCGCGATCGATCAATAATAACGCTGCTTATCTAAAACCTGCAGTCACCCACACCTCGTTACAACATTGCCTCAAGTCACAAGCATTATAAATAAATAGAGAGTGGCTAGTAGTGGAATCCAGGACATGTGTTTCGTCCTATTCGGGAATCGTCAGCTGGATGTGCCTGCATCCCACAGTTGATGTTCACTGCAGGACTCGAACCCAATACCGTTCGCTTCAAACACCATCGCGTTATCCACTCAGCTACTGAGTCCTTATAACTATTACCTTATGCAACGTGGTCAAGTTTAAATCCATGTTGTATTGTTTATTTGAATGTTCCAATGTTGATGTTTAGGAATGCAATTGTTCAGTCTCTTATTGACATATGTACATCATATGCGGATTACCCCGATATCTCTTTAATTTACAAGCATTCTAAGCAAATATGGATAATGTTTAGGAGTGGAATCCAGGATGCTCGTTTCGTTCTATTTGGGACTCTTCAGCTAGATGTACTTGCATCTCAGAGTTGATGTTCATTCCAGTCACAACTCGAACTCAGTACCGTTCATTTCAAACGCCATAGTGTTATCTACTTAACTACTAAGTCTTGAGTTTTGTCTAACAATTTGATACAAAATGAAAATAATTTCTTAGTTACTATGCTAAATGTATGTCAATACAAATAATCTACTGTGTCTAACACTGTGTACATATACATGTACACATAGATTGCATGTATAATTCAGATGTTTACAAGGAAACATAATAAAAGGTAACATATTTTTTTGTAAATCAGTATTTATATAACTAATCACCATCATCATCATCATGTATTAATAATAGAATTTCAAGTTAAGAATGAATCAGTCCAATGGAACTATTTGAGTACAAAGTCAATTAAGTAGTAGATAATTTACTGTTGTGTTTTTTTCTTTTTTCTTCTTCTTCTTATATCTAAATAGTAATGATGATAACATTTGGTTATGATAATATAATTTCAATATTTGATGATTATATTGTTTACATGATGGTGTTGTGTACACATATACATACACATGTACAACTTAGCCATTTGGACTATGACTTTGGTAGTTGTAGTTGTAGTAGTAGTAATGGTAGTGACAGTACGAATAGAGTAATCTAAATATTTAATGTTTCATATTAAATCTCATAGATTTTTTTGTATATTATGGAGTGTAAATGAACAAAGTTCACCAAAACAATCTCTCTCACCCTCTCTCTCGGTCTTTATTGATACTATTTAACCTTTGTACTAAAAATTATGTTTACACTAATGATGAATAGAAATGAACAACTAATGTTTTTTAATCGCATGAAGATAATACTTACTATGTGCTCATTAGTGACCAGATTCGTGAGGGAATTTTGAGAGTTCTGTTCTAGCGAGAAGCCGTGGACAGTGGAGCTAATCCATGTCATATAGAGACAGGTATATATCTTAGTACAATGGATGATGGTTGTGCAATATTGTGGATTGATTGAGGTTAGACATTCGTGCCAGTGGATGCTGGCCAGCTCAGTGGTCTGTAGGTTAAGCGTACACGCGCGACACTTAAGTTTGTGTTCGAATCCCGCTAGCGGGATCGCGGATGTGCACTGTTGAGGAGTCCAGATTTCCAATGGTGGTCTAA